GTAATCACAAGTAGGCTCTATTTTGTTTAAATGCCGTTCTCCTTGAATCACATGTCATTCCATGATTTCTATAAAGTTTAGTAATACAAACATTTCATTATTTTAGTACAAATCTCAGTTTTGTTCATATTCTAATAAACTTTACAATTGGTACCACAAATGTCAGTATCAGTCTTCATCAAGTACGGTATATAGAGTATACATAGGGTGTATCTTATATTGCTTAATAAGGCCAATTAAATAAAACTTTAAATTGGTTCATCAAAATAAATTCAATTTGACATAACTGAATAGAAGATGAAATTTCCAAATGAATAGACAACGATCAACAAATAAAACACGCCAAGTCTTGAAACAGAGAAAATTATGAAGGAAGTAGATACATTTGTCATCATTTCATTGCTGCCTTAGTTATCAAAATTTCTAGAGCTGAGCTACAAGGGAAATGGTTACAAAGGATTAACACTTAGGGGTAATGCTTAGTGTTATGTGCCTGGATTTAGCAACATTAACAGAAGTCTGCACAGTTAAATCCTTCATCCTTCTGAAAATGTGCCCTTCGGTGTCAATGTTGCTTGACAAGATATTTTCTGGGACTCAGAAAGGTGAAATTTCTTACAGGGGTGCAAGATTAATGGCTAGAAGAACTGTATTGTCACAGATATCAAAAAGTGTTTTTAAAAAGCCAAAGGGGATTTAATCTTCCAGACATTTCCTGTTAGTGAATAAAGAGACTCAGTAGCTTTTGGGAACATGAGGGGAAAAAAGACAAAAGCTTGTGTTAAACTTTGTTTCACTGCTTCCCCATTTCTCCTGTTCATATTCCACTCTGGAACACCTGTTCCTGTATGCTGCTAAAATTAAAACTATTACAAATGCAAGCAGAATGGTAATGCACACAGGTGCAAGCACATATACACAAAACTCCAACTTAAATTGATTCCTGGGTATACAGCCAATGATACAGTATATACACATCTATTACCATCGAGTTTCTAGAAGAGCAGCTGAAAGTAAATTCTATAACACAGAAAAATAAATATACACCCTGTATTATACTTGTCCTTGATCAAGCAACATGTTTATACACTAGTTTCTATAACTTAACGCTGTGTAACAGCACTTTAAAATCGCAAAAGAAGTTACCTATTAAGAAATTATCTAACCATATTGCTCTTCAGTACACTTATGTAGACAATTAAGACTTGAAGTAAACTTCAGTAAATTGCAGCTTGTGTTAGCCCACACATGACTATAAAACTTTGCCCTTCAAGTAGATTCTTGGAAGTTTTGAAAGGTGCTGCCTTCATTCAGTCTAGAAAGGTGCTGTGTACAATTATATATTTCATGTACAAAATTTTGTAGAAGTGGTGGGAAGGGTTTTTTTTTTTGTTGTAAGATAAGATCATGTTTAACCTTGTGTTGTTATTCCAAGGAGGTCATATTAGTTTCTTAAAAAATGACGACATTGAGAAGAAGCTAAAACACTGATTACAAATTCTGTGGCTGAAAGTAATGCTCCCAAAACGTTTAGAAATCACCGAGTTTTCCTTTCCCCCCTCTTTGTTAAAATAAATCTCAGGGCTTGTTTACAAAGTGCAGAAACATTCATTCAATGACATGACAGTCAAGTGAAGTTACAATGGCACCATCCCGTTTGCCAGCTGCGCCTTCATTTCTTGAAGGCTGCTCATGATCTTCTTCTGGTGACCGACAAGAGTCACTCCGAGCCGTCTCAAATCCCTGCATGAAGAAAGCACACATTGGATGTATGTAGTGATTCAGTTTGTAGCACACCTCAATATTTCACGCTGGCAAGGAGGCAAGTATTTTACAGAAGCTAATTTGATTTAGACATACAGGGTCCAATTCTCAAAGGCAGGCTCCAAAAATGTACCTCAAATATCTCTTTAGCATCCAGAAACTATTGACAGTGAGGAGTGATACTATATTTATTTGCCCCTTTTTCGACATCATAATGTTGGTGGCGCAGAGTGGTAAAAAACAAATCTGCACATGCTTCCCAATGAATATGTATAATAAAGGGTACAATTTCATTGAACAGTTTTGAAAATATGGATCTACAATATGAACATGCCCATTTTTTTTTTTTTGCTAAAACGAGTTAGCATAAAATATATATTTTTTAAAATCACAGCTAAGCTATTGAAGACTAAACTCTTCAAATGACTCAGTCAGTACAATCATTTTATACAACAGATATCTTTAGGAGTTAGTTACCACTATATTGCTTTTATAAAACTTCCAAATATTTTATTTTTTACGTGGAATCCAAGTGCCAGAACCTTATATCTTTGCCAAATAATGTCTAGGTTCTACTGGCGCTTAGAGCATTCTGAAGATTATACACTATCAGAAAGTCTTTTCAACCAAGGTACTTCCATTCTGTTTCTTCTCAATAAGCTTAGTATCCAAAAGAAAGTTACAAATGTTTAGATTTCAAAAATAACAACATGTTGTGGAGCTCAAGGCCAGTGCCCATGGTTTTAAAATGTTATTTCTTAGGATATTTTGGAATTCTATCCCCTTAAGGGTATGTATGTGGCAAATATAATGATTTGTGTATGCTTGGCAAGTGGTAACACTAATTATAAGACAAATGACCGCGAACAATTCAACATTTTTAAACAAAGTTGCCATGTTAGATTTCTTAGATAAATATTTTATAGAACTTTATGCTAAAAGTAGAATATTTTTGCATTTAGTAAATGTATTAATTTTAGATTGTCTGAGAAGTTTATGAAAATGGATGCAATGACATAGAGTCATTATATATAAAATTGAATAATTTTGAAAACTCAAAGACATCTTAATTGTCAGATGATAGAATTTAAATAAATAGGCATGTACACTCCATATGCATTAGTATTGGGAATAATTGTTTATTTAAATAATATATTTGGTCTCTTTTTCTCTTTATGTTTTGATTTCTTATGAGAGATTTAGCAATTGGCAAGCAGCTAAAGAAGAAATAGTGCATGCTTATGGCAGAAACATATTTCTTAGGATGTAACTATTAAACATTAAACTGAGAGATTATCAAAGCTATAAGACACCAGAATACAATATTAAAATAATAATATTAGTAGTAGTAGTAGGCATGGAAAACAATCATCAGTAAAACTTAAAACACCAGTAAAAATTCACTTTGAAACAAAATCACTGTTGTTGGCTATGAAACAGAATACACACTTGCTAGCTGCAGGCTAACACAGAAATAAAGGAGGTTTAGTTTATTCTTATTTCTTTTAAAGTAAGCCAGAGTTCTCAGGCTCGCCCCTGTTAACATTAGGCTGAACAGTTCTCGGTGTGGGAGCTATCTCATGCATTGCAGACTATCCAGCAGCACCCCTTATCTCCCCCCACTGGACACCGGAATGGCTGCACCACCTCTGGCCTTTTGTTGTGATAAGACAAAATATCTCCATTTTTGCCAAATGTCTTCTAAGTGGCAAAAATCTCTCCTGGTTGAGAACCACTGCACCAACTATAAAAATAATAGGTCACAACTAAGACGTCTTATTTTTATACGTTTGAAAAATATATACCTCTATGAAATAAATTTTTCCTAATCTCCTTTTATGGATGAGGAAACAAAGTCTTAAAGAATTTAAATTAGTTACTTTTGAACAATAATAGATACAGAGGCAGAGCTGCCTCAAACAGATTGTCAAACTGCAGCGGGAAGGCCGGGGAGGGTTGGGGGGCAGGAGGTAGGGGGGTAAGAGATCAACCAAAGGACATGTATATAAGCATAACCAATGGACATAAGACACTGGGGGATAGGGGAGGCTAGGGGACTATCTAGGGCGGGGGGAAAAATGGACACATATGTAATACCCTTTGTAATACTTTAAGCAATAAAAAAAAAAGAATTTAAATTAGTTGGCTAGATAGCACAGCCAGTGGGTAGCAGAGGTAGGGCTAACACCAGGAACCTAACGCCATAGTTCATCCTCCTTGACTTTCTCATTACTCTCAGGTGTGATTTTGAGAAGAGTACTTCAAATGATACGCTATTACTCATTCATCTGTACAATGAGAACTCTGTAGACATAACATCAAATATCCAAAATTCTAAAAGAGAGAAAATAGTTAATGAAGGAAACTGAACACAGACTTTTTTTGTCTGAGACTGTGGTAACCCAATCTATATTTCATGAACATTTCAGTTTTGAGCTAAATAATATTCTCATGTTTCCACATGTAACTGATGAATCATGAAGATTTTTGTTTATCAGGGTATTGATGGGTGCTCACTAGTATACTTTGGATGTACATTAAGAAAAAAACCCCTAATATTTCTTAATGTAAAACAATAAATCTCTACTGTACAGTTTAAATAACTAATATTTGAAATATAGTTCTATAATAAAACATGTTTTATCATATGCTTTATATACCCCAGGTGAAAAGGACAAATGTAATAAATACACTTAAATTGCACAATTCATATGGCTAATCCAATTATTAACAATATAGTTTGGAAAAAAAACCATTATAGTTTGTTCTGAAAAACCTGAAAGAAAAGGAATTTATAGGTTTTTCCCACTGAAAAGGCAGAAACTTTACATATAAAATACCAAAACCTTAATTTGCAGTATGTAAATGTGAGTGTGCAGATTTGTACATGTGTGTGTTTTCCATATTCCAACTCGTGGTTGTTTTGTCTAACTGATATCAAATCATTGGTTTGACTTATTATTATTTCCACTGTTTTAATTTATTTTTATATTATGGGCAAATATAACCTCATTCTCTGAAAATAACAACACGAGAAACATTCTGGGTCAGTGCTTTGAGTGATACTTGTGATGCTGTTTGTAATGATATTGCAAATGAGAATTCAAATGGTATTAGAAAAATATTTCCAGGAGAGGTTAAATAAGTTTATTTCTATATTGTTAAATGCATTATTTTCTTTTAAGTAGTTTTGTCTCTCACTTTTGCAATTTCTAACAACATCCACTTTACTGCTCAAAGTACATATTAAATTATCAATTTAGCAGTGATAATGTGAGATAAATTTGATAAAAATTAAAGTATTTTACATTTATTGATAAAGGTGATGCTCTATTTCTAATAATTGTAAAAATGATTTAGAAACCGTGGATATATACTATTTTACTCATTTTATTTTCCTATATAGAAACTTTTATAGCTGGGCAAATATTTAAGTGTGTCACCTTTATAAAAATTACCCGATTTTATCATGACCAGGTGGAATCTTAAGTAACACCCAAAGACAATTCTAATGATGAAAACTGTATTTCAGCATAGGCTTATAAATTTAAACATGATGGGAATAGCGTTGTTACATTAAAAATACATTGGGTTTTGTCAACAAAGTATGATTAGTTTTAGAAAAGCTGCAAATATAAATAATTACCATTGCATTTTTTAAAATATTATTCCATAATATTAAAAATGGAAATTACTAATATTCTGATACTAAAATGGCAAAATGAAAAATAGAAAATAATGAGAGGTGTCTAGTTAATGTTGGACACCTCATTCAAGATTTAATTTATCCATTGTGGTGAGTCATTCTTCTCCCTTCTGCTTTACATACCTTTTAGCCATTTCACTGGTTTTTAGCCCCATCAACATTGGCTGGATAGGAGAAGGGAGAAGAGAGCTTAATGAGTACTCACTAAATTTCAGTGTTTATTATTTGTCACTCAGAAGTACGTTGGGAATTTGTTGGCTTGGTCATGATCTTCAATGGATGACACATTGTGAGGTTTAGACTAAAAGTTCTATCTTAATTAACAAATAGGATAGTCAGTATTCGTATGTGTACTTTCATTGTAAAAAATTAGCATAATGACTGCATTAAAAAGTTAAGAAATTTATTTGAATTAGTGTGTACAAATTTTGGCTCAGCATTTGGGAATCTTTCATTTCAGTAGTTTACACACAATTGGTATAATATTTAAATTCATTGGGTTGCACTCATTTTCTGAATAATCAGTGTTACAATACAAGCCTGACAAGAACTTTAAAAAGCAACTGTAGGCTCAATCTCCAGTAGGTGGTCTGCAGGAGGCAGCTGATCAATGATTCTCTCTCATCACTGATGTTTCTATCTCTCTCCCTCTCCTTTCCTCTCTGAAATCAATAAAAATATATTTTAAAAAACAACAGAAAAAACTGTAATACTATCCTCAATTCAAATATTTGGATTCAATCTGCAACGCACCTGAAGCTCACAGTTCTTCGTCAACAATACCTCAGTGCATTTACACACCATAGTACAGAGAGTTCATTATTGCCATAACAATTACTATAATATTAGTTCTTTACACAGAATAGCAAGGTTTAGGCATAGGGAACATCAACAGCAATGTCTAGGGTTAATAGCCTCTTCTGGTGAACATGTTTTGACTCTAAGATCTCAAATTTTTTTATTTTCTTTCCACATTAAGCCATATTTGGATGTATTAGCAAAATAATAATAATAAAAAATTAAAATTAAACCTTTATGAAATTTTTTTTTACCTAAGTGAGTGGTTGTAAAACACTAATTCTTTATGTTTCTTTTTCTAAACCCACTGAGAACAAATTTGATGGCACAAATCATTATACATATTTTTCTATTTAGGTATATGGCAATTTGATATTTTTATATAAATAATTTCAAGATTTTTTTATAAGTATTTATTATAGGTATGAAGTCATTCTTCAAGTTCTCAGTTTCTATTCTGGCAGTAACATTGTTTATAATATTTTATTATAATATTATACATGTTTCATGAAATTAATATTTAGATATGGGTAAAGACCACGTGTAAAAAATCATTATCAAAGTGTTTAAAAAGCTTGTTTTGGTTTTAGCTGGTATCCCAGTTTCTTTGCTATGAGTCCTTAATAATGATGAATATATACATCCTATATAATAAAAGGCTAATATGAAAATTGACCGAAAAGCAGAGTGACCAGTCACTATGACGTGCACTGGCCACCAGGGGGCAGATGCTCAACACAGGAGCTACCCGCTGCCCCCAGGTGGTCAGTGCACTCCCACAGGGGAAGTGCCACTCAGCCAGAAACCAGGCTCATAGCTGGCGAATGCAGTGATGGTGGTGGGAGCCCCTCCTACCTCTGTGGTAGCACTAAGGACCCCTCAGGGGATGTCCAACTGCTGGCTTAAGTCTGCTCCCTGGTTGAGCCTAAGCTGGCAGTCAGACATCCCCCAAGAGGTCTTGGACTGCAAGAGGGTGCAAGCCAGGCTGAGGGAACGGCCTCTAATATATATATATTAGAGGCCGTTATGTATATATATTCACAGATACATATTTTTCTTTTACTTTATATTTCTGACTAAAGAAGCAATTGATTACTTGCTATTTTGTAAGTTAGTTACGATATTATTCGACAAATATATTCTTACCAACTAGAAAAATGTGGTCAAAACACAATAAACAAGAGAACATATAATTAGAGGTGCTGGACTCTCTAAGAAATGAGCTTCACTGGAGTTAGTTAACCTCTGCTGGCTCAGGTCTTACTAAGGAATGTGTTCAGGATGTGTTTATTTGGGCTCCCAGAACGTGAAGCAATTGACATATGGAGGACAACATTCCCTGAACAGAAAGATGTCCGTATGACTCCTAATTTCACCTTACTCTTCTGGTCAGAGTAAATTAATTAAAAGACAAAAATATCTGATGGAAGCACTATAGCAAGAGGCAAGAAGCTACCAAAGTAACAGAGATACAGAAAAAAATTGCCCAGACCAAAATTACTGGAGAATACAAATGAAATGGCGAACCATTATAAGATAGAAGAAGGTATTAGGGCTTGAAAGAAACATACAAATGAAGAGAGTTTGGGGATAGGAAAGTAAAGAGGAAAGAATTAAAAGAAATAAGACAATATGAAACCATAATGCTAAAATATTAAACATAATTATAGTATTTTGGGGTCCCTATGAGACAAAGTAAAATAAGTTGGTAGTGCAAAAACCATTATTTGTGATTGTAACTATTCTGTGAAGGGAAAAACTAAAAGGTAGTAGAATGATATATATGTATATATGTGCTATTTAAATAAAAAGGAGACATTGTTTAATGCAAATACTTTTATTATATATTTACAAGTAATCTGACATTGGGTAGAAGAAATACCTACAGTATCATTTTAATATAAAATGACAAATGACTTTAATAAATTAAAATGACCATTTTTACTGAAAAATTAAATAGCAATCATGTAAAAATAGTTTAAAATTATCAGTAAACTTTTCTGTTCACTATTTTAAATATAGCACAAATGAGCTCTTTGAGTGTCCAAAAAAAATAATGGGCCAAGAAAATGTGTCTTCAAATAGATATGGTTTGATGGTGATAGTGAGAATGAGATTCAGTAAATTATGAGGGCAAGCTGAGTGGTGATTTTAGGTCCTTTCAGTTATAGGTATAATGGAAGAGAAATGTGGAGAATGTGTGATCTTAACTGGTGATCAATGACAGTACCCTGTTACCTTTTTTGTGGCTGTGCAGTGGGTTCAATGAATCAGAATGCCAGAATAATACAAAGGGTGAACAAGAACTGCTCAGTGCTCATGTTACGTGAAGTGATGGGATATGGACCGTGGCTTACTGCTTTAGAATGTTCTACCATGTTCTAATCCTTATAACAATATTTTAACCTTTGAATTGGAAGGTACTTGAAGTAATTTATCATTATATTTGCAGGTTAAAACATTATTCATGTTTATGTAATCTAGATGAAATCACCATAATGACAAATAATTTTCACAAAGAACAAATATTAGGCTGAAATAATTACACATACAGAATATATAATAAAATACAAACCACTTACAACCTTAAAGGATTTAGCATTTAACTCTAATGATTTTTATTCGATAAGATTTGAGAAATTTCACCTTAATCGTGCAAACATAAGAGGGCACAATTGGTTCCACCGAGATTGCACCAAATAACAAATCAGAGACGGGATCTAATAGATTCTTGGATGGCAAGAGTATAAGGTGCACCACTTAGAGATTAGATGAGATCCCTGCCTGAGAAGCTGTGTGTAAGCTGCTGTTTCCTGGTTGTTCATCATAGCTGAAATTTAAGGGTGCTTTTTCTTATGTAGGACTAGTCATACCAATTGTGCTTACATTTGTTTTGTATTTACATTTATGTAACACAGAGACCAGTATAAAAACTTTGTCAAGAAAACATCTTTTCCACAACATGAATTACCATTATTTTGCTAAAAAGCTGTTTTCCCAATTATTCAAATATCCCAGTGCTATTTGTTTAAAGCATAGAAGCAAAGAAACTGGACACAAGTAGCATTAACCATGCAATTGTTAACAATACAGGCAAAACGAAGAGGCTTCTTTGAAAGCTGCCACACATGGACAAAAGTTAATTGGTTTGCTTTGACCTCATCCAGATAGGTTTCTGAACAAATTCTCTCGCCCCAGCAATTATGTAAAAATTATCAGAAAAATTACTCACTCCAAGGTCACCTGAGCCACAGCGTCCATTGAACTGTATCCATTTTCCATGAAAATCTCTGTGTACCGGCCCATTTTGATTGCTTCTAGCCATTCACCTACTGATCTGTAGGCCCCAGATCCCAGGGAGCCATGTTCTGCCAATAAAGTAGATACTCTAAAAAAAAATAAAACATAAATATTAAAAGTAATATTTTAATCTTTATAAAAATTTATATTATCATGTTAGCTCATGTTAGATCGTTGGGTCTGTAAGTATATCGATATGGGAAAGTATGTAAATGCAAAACTGGAAGAAAATAATATTTTGAAATACAGAACACAACATCAGATGTTTATTCAAATGTTGTTCTATCCAGAGTCTATGAGGAATTGTAGTGACTTAAGTTAATTTTCTCAATATAAAACATTAGCTAAAAATTTCATGTAATGCTTTAGATGTATTTATTTTCTACTATTGTTTTGTTTATAAAAATAAGATAAAAACTGCTACCGAATATAGATATGAGGGATAATTTGGGCAAAGCCAAATACTTGTAGACCTTGCTAGAGAAACTTGTGCTCACTGAATTTCTTAGGAAGTCTAGAACTTATTGTTGATCTCATTCTCTCGCGTAGGGGCACTTGTTAATTCACCTAGGAGGAGTGGAACCTGGAAAACAAAAATGTAACTCCAAGCACATAAGAGAACTAAATAGGACCAATCAAACCATGGGATGTTTTTTTCATTATACTTAATCCATACTCTTAAAAAACAAATTCATATTCTTCGGCCAAAAATAACATGACTATAATGATGATAATCATTTTTGGACATGTATCTTAAGGAAATAATTGGAGGAAAGGGCAAAGAGTATATGTACAATTTTTTTCTTCAACTGAGAGTAAACATTAAAAACAATTTAAATGGCCATTAATGGGTATTTATTTAAGTACATTTCAACCATAAGATATCGGATATCTTTCTTTCTACTCATATTCTCTGCACTTTCTCATTTCCTATTTCTACTTCAAACTACCCCAGTGTAGTTTCTTACAAACCGATTCTATAAAAATTGCTCTGTTTGAGCTGAGCAATTACCTCTATGTTGCCAAAGTCTGTGAAGAGTTCCCAACCTGTAAGATGACTGACTTCTCAGAAACATCCAACATCACCACTATTATTTCTCTCTCAAACAGTTTTGAATCACCATTCTCTTTCTTGGCTACCATGACCTTGAATGTTCCTGGTTTCTTCTTACTCTCCTTTGCCTGTTATTCCTTCTTTTTTTTTTTCTTACCTTAAAATTTGGTGGGAACTAGGACTTGGCCCTTTATATTTTCTGCTCGGGCTGTAACCCAAGTCTACTTAGAAAATTTTACCCAATTTCTTGCTTCAAATGGCATCTGTCATTACCCAATTTTTATCTTATGTATAGGTTCCTCCTATATTTATATGCCTACATCATGCTTCCACATTTCTCATAGAAATATCACTCCAATATTTCTAAAACCATGTTCATCTTTATTACTTCCATTTCCTCCCAAAGTGCTCCCAGTTTAGTATATGATACAATAGTTCACTCACTCCTTCCTTATCTTCAAATCCCTCACAATCTCTCATTGTGCATACTATCCACTCTACCTCCCTATATTGCACATCTGACCATTCTTGCTATCTCATTTGTTACCACCTTAGTTCAAGACATCATCATTTTACCTACACAACTACTCTAGCCTCCCAGTTAGTAGGACTTCCACTCAGCCAGCGTTCCTGTGGTTCTGGATGATGTCCCTTCCGTCTTTTAGTTTCACTTTCGAAATGGTTGTTCGAGGCGGCAAACTCCGGCGTTAACCTATGCCGCTATTTCTAAAACCATGTTCATCTTTATTACTTCCATTTCCTCCCAAAGTGCTCCCAGTTTAGTATATGATACAATAGTTCACTCACTCCTTCCTTATCTTCAAATCCCTCACAATCTCTCATTGTGCATACTATCCACTCTACCTCCCTATATTGCACATCTGACCATTCTTGCTATCTCATTTGTTACCACCTTAGTTCAAGACATCATCATTTTACCTACACAACTACTCTAGCCTCCCAGTTATCCTCATAAATTGTACTCTCTCCATCCCAACACCAAAATTGTTTTTTAATGTTTTTATTTTATTTAGTGTATCTCTTCCATAATAGTGTATTGCTCAATGCTGTATACTCAGCACCTAGCCCACAGCATGATACAGTAGTTATTTGTTGCACGGGTAAATGGGAATCTTGTAGTGATTTGCAGCCATTAGGCATTAGGATCAAAGACTCATTGAAAATGAATTATAGGTGGAAACAGCTGGAGAGGAGGATCTTGAAGTTGAGATTGTGGAAGAGGTGCAAGTTTTGTTAATAGCCAAGTTTAGAATGTGACTATGACAAGAAGATTCCAAGGTATTTTAGAGACCAAAATCACTAAAGGAGAAAACTTCAATGTATTGAGAGATATCCAAACATCACCTCCATGGTCACTGAAATCAAGTTTTGTGATAGGGATAGAATAGAGAAAGTGAATGAGTCAGGAACTAACACCTTCTGGAGATGGGATTTGTAGATGGGTAGTAAGTGGTATAGTCTTAAGCCAAATCTGTTTAAAAGATAACTAGCAAGCTGATTCTACATACTGCACACACGGAACTACTAAAATTCGTTGTAGATATTTAAACTGCTCTCAAGCTATAATGATGATTCTGATATCAATTAACACATTTTAGAACATAAAAATGTCCCTTTTGATTTTCTTTCTTTACAACAGCTTAGCATAATTCAAATAAGTAGATGAGAGAAATATTTAATATTTTATATGGCAATAAACAGTTTGAAAGCAGATATTTTAGGAACAACATAAGGAATGATTGCTAAGAAGATGCATTCTCCAGTTGCTGCCACAGAAAGTTAATGATCCCTGAACAGAGTTTGAAGATTCATTCCTCATTTGTATTTAAAAATGAATTTTTGTCTAGTAAACAAACGTTATGTCAGAATCATAAAACTTATGTAACTTTATCAACAAATTGTTTCTCATTTAGTTCATGTTAGTACACAGCCAATTCAGTTCCTGGCATGACAGTTTTTTTCCTTATAAAAATATGCTATTACCTCAAATACAGTGAAAATAACAATTGGACAAATCTTATAGTAAAGAATCAAACTGATTTATTTTTTGAGAGAATAATTCTATAACTTTTCAGGTTAAAGAAAAATGTATGTTTTATAAAAATGCAACATTATATATATATATATATATATTTGCTCATATGAAATCTTTCCACAAGCCCAGCCAGTGTTGCTCAGTGTTTGAGCATCAACCTATGAGTGAGGAGGTCATGCAGTTAGATTCCAAGTCAGGGCACATGCTTGGGTTGTGGGCTTGATCCCCAGTAGGGGCGAGTAGGAGGCAGCCAATTGATGAGTCTCTCTCATCATTGATGTTTTTACCTTTCCCTTCTTCTTTAAAATCAATGAAAAAAAATATATAAATAAAATCTTGCCACAAAATTACTCATATTTGATTAGCCACATGTCTGTGTTCAACTAGATAAGAGTAAAGGGTCGCTAAAAGCATTGTCAATATTCATAAAATATACAGACACTAAAACCAATTCTAAAAACATGAAAAGTAATTATTGGTAGATATCTCTAGTGTAAAATAGATCAATGCTTATTTGGCTTTTCCTTATGGTCTGATAATTTAACCTTTTCTCCATCCACACCTATGTGGGGTCCAATATACATGGAAATAAATGCATTTGATTGTTTTGGTTTTTAAAAAAATACTACCTAAACTTGGCTACAGTTAGCATTTTTCTGATATGGAGATGTTACACTATTAGATTATGTATATGTGCTTTTAAAAAAAACATTATATATATATTATTGATTTTTTACAGAGAGGAAGGGAGAGGGACAGTCAGAAACATTGATGAGAGAGAAACATTGATCAGCTGCCTCCTGCACACCCCCTACTGGGGATGTGCCCGCATCCACAGTACATGCTCTTGACCGGAATCGAACCTGGGACCTTTCAGTCCACAGGCCGACGCTCTATCCACTGAGTCAAACTGGTTAGGGCAGGTATATGTGCTTTTAAGTATAATCATTTATATTTCATTCATTGTAAGAGAGTAACTTTATGCCAAAAAATGATAGTCAAGTAAATTAATATCATACATGGTTAGAGGTTAATTTATGTCCATAGTGATTTAAAGTTTGTGGCATCAATCTGGATTAGCTAAACTCGGGATAATCTCTCAGGCCTGGCCTGTACCTGCTCGATGCATTGACCAGTGTCTTCAGGCTGCTCGGGTTACGTATCAGCTTGTCCAGCATGTTCACTATTCCATCAAACTTGGGCCTGCTATTTCGGTCTTTCTGCCAGCAGTCCAGCATTAATTGGTAGAGGGCAGCAGGACAGTCCATGGGGCTTGGCAGACGGTAGCCTTCCTCTACTGCCTTAATCACCTGTGAAAAGCAAAACAGAACCAGTCCCAATACCACACATTTAGCAGAGAAATTTCCCCCTATTTAACTTTCATCCTTTCTTATGCTTAACTCTTGCAATAACAACCAGGTTCACTATCTCTAAAATACCCAATTACTTCCATTTGCTGTGAGATAAAACAACAAAATAAAGAAATAAATGTACTCTCACAATAGAAAAATATAGGCTTTCTTCATATATTATAAGGAAAATAAATGGTAATCATTTTTACCTAAGAACTTGATGAAGACGATTTGTAAATTTAATTGACAAAAATAAACAGTTCATGTTTTATTTATCCTTGAATTCTAGAATCAAATAGATATTAAATCTTTTTGTGATTGCTCTGAAAAGTTAATGTCTTTTTAATGAAAATGTATGAGCAGAACCACATTTTTTAAAGTATTGAAACTGCAATTTTATTTCAAAAGAGAGCTTTGGATGGGAAATGATGGATAAGTCAAAGGCTAGATTAGTATAATGATCTCATGTATCATTTAATAATGTCTAGTTCTTGCTGTTTATTGTCATCTGCTGATTTCTGTCAGGAATTTAGAATAATTGTCTAGTAGCAAAAGCATTACAAATATCACTGATTTTAAATGAAAAACACACATATGAATATCAGTCTAATTGTAAGATTGCTTTATCAAAAACATTTGCAATGTCTGACTCCAGAAAATATGTATTTATGCTACTGAATATATTAGTATAGGTATTATTCAATTATTAAAAATCAAAAGTTTGTGATACCAAAAATCCAGTAAAAATGAATATATTTCTTAAAATCCTATTACAAATATTTCCTTAACATTGAAAATTAACATTTTTATAAAGATTTTTGATTGATCTGACAAATGGAAAAAAACATAATGATTAGGATAGAAAATTTACAAAGATAATTTGAGTGATTGGGAAGAAACCAACCTCTTTATGATAAAGGCAATGCCATTTGAACAAGATCAATGAGATGTAAAGAGGGTTAAATAGCAGATTTAAGGACATTGTGACAAAGGGATTGAGGAGAGATGAAAGTATTTGCGATAAAACAAGTTCAGGCCTATCACATGGATGGTTGTTGCTGTTAACTTTAGGCAAGTACATAAATGGGGTAATGCATGTTGACAGGTATAATCTGTACTTGTTTTACTTGATGTGAATGGGGAACATTCATATGGCAATATGCAGAAATCTGGCACAGGAGATATTTGGGCTGATAGTGTAAACTATAGGATCATCAGCACCCGGTCACAGCCTAAAGTCGGCTGTAGTTTATATCGTCCTGGGAAATGCATGAAATAAAGGCTTCTGAGAAGCACCAGTAGTTAAGTTCAGGTAGCTGAGAACTCTGAAAATAATGTTTAAATAAATATTGAATAATTATGAGCAAAATACAAATGCTCCTCCACTTACACTGGGGTCACATCCCAATAAACCTATTGTAAATTGGAAATACAGTAAGTCAAAAATGCATTTAATAAACCTAACTTACAGAACATCATAACTTAGCCTAGCCTACATTAAACTTGCATAGAACATTTACATTAACCTACAGTTGGGCAAAATCATGTAATACAAAGCCCATTTTATAATAAAGTGTTGAATATGTGCTGTAATTTGTTATGGGTACTGCTTTTGCAGTATCCTAAAGTTGAAAAGTTGTAAGTCAAACCGTAAGTCAGGGACTTGCTGTACCTGAGAGTCACTTACCACCTTAGTTAACCACTCAAAACAACATAAGAAGCTAAAAGGCGATTCCATGAAGGGGCACCTCCACTGCGCTGAGCCACCAGAGTGGCTGCTGAAAGTGCCCACAATCCAGGCCTTTGAGGCCCAGAGCCAAGATCTGCAGTGCCAAGGCCCCCCTCTGTGTCAGGGCCCTGATGGGAGACAGATCTAATTGTGTTGCTATGAACATAGGGGTGCTGAGGTCTAAAGAATACAATTATTGGATTGTGTGGGAAAGAAGAGGAGATGGACCTGAAAGGCCTTTCGGAGAGGACTTGAAAGCCATGATCCTGACTGTGAGGATTGCCCGTGACCTGCCTGCCCATGTTTGTTGGCGTCTCCTGACTGTCCATGAGTAATTCCCTGTCTCCCTCTACCAGAGGATTTCCACTCTCCCTGCTGAGATCCAGTCTGGCCATGACTGGACCCTGACTGTCCCTGTGAGCCTCCGGAATGCCATTCACTGCCACTGGCCTCATTGTGACTAGATCCCCTTCTTCCAGTTCTGCCAGATCCTGACTGTGAGGATTGCCCATGACCTGCCCGCCCATGTTTGTCAGTGTCTCCTGACTGTCCATGAGTAGTAATCCCACTTCTAGGAATATAATCCAATAAATCAGAAACACCAAACAGAAAGGATATATGCATCCCTATGTTCACAGCAGCACAATTTATAATAGCTAAGATTTGGAAACAGCCTAAGTGCCCATCAGCATATGAGTGGATTAAAAAGCTGTGGTACATCTACACAAATGGAATACTACACTGCTATAAAAAAGAAGGAACTCTTACCATTTGCAACAGCATAGATGGACCTGGAGAGCATTATGCTAAGCGATATAAGCCAGTCAGAGAAAGATAAATAAATATCACATGATCTCACTCACTTGTGGAATATAATGAACAACATAGATTGATGGACAAAAATAGATCCAGAGACAGAGAAGCATGGAATAGACTGTCTAACCTTAGAGGGAAGACAGAGGGTGTGGGGGAGGGTGTTAGAGATCAATGAAAGAACTTGTATGCATGCATATAAGCATAACCTATGGACACAGACAGTAGGGGGGTGGGAATGGCCTGGGAGAGATCAAGGGGGAAAAGGAGACATGTAATATTTTAAACAATAAAGAATTTAAATTAAAAAAAAAACCTTAAAAGGCAAACTACAATAGAAAATGCCATAAAAACTAAAACATGATTAATATATCTAATGTAGTTAAAGCTCAGACATATCTATAATAATAAAAGCGTAATATGCTAATTAAACTGGATGTCCTTCTGGACAGCCTTCCAGATGAAGCTGGGACTGCCTGGGTCTTGGGTGCTTGCTGGCGGCCAGAGGGGGTCCCGGGTACCAGAGGGAAGCCAGTGCCAGCAGCTGGGGGAAGGAAGGCCTATTCCTGCACAAATTTTGTGCATATCAGGCCTCTACTTGAAAATTAAAATAAGAAAATAGATAAATGAGAAATAGCTACTAACCAAAAGCTTATAAAAAAGGAAAGAAAAAAAAGCCATAATTTTTATAGACAATCTGGCACCATGTCAGACATGCTATATCTGAAATACTGCCATAAGCTCTGCATTTTTGGCATTGGCATGCAAATAAATAGTCTAAACACAATTTAAAAAATGCTACCTCTCCTAATGCATAAACCTGCAACAGTGGGTGTCCAACATGGCACTGTTCACTTGGTGGCAAGTAATTCTATTGGGCCCTTTCCATCATGTAAGGGCCAGTAAGTGCCATCTTTTCAGATATATATACCTATTTTGGGTACTGGTTGTTTTTACTGCCCACAGAGCTTCACCCAACAGTATAAGGTTGGAATATTTACCTACAAACCCAGAATCCTATCTAGCATATGACACAGCAAGGTTACCCACTTCAGAGCGAAGGAGACATAAGAGCTATCACATACTCAGTGATGTGTTGTTAGATATTTAACAACTGGCTCTTTCTGCTGGGGAAAGAGATTTATTACATTTTCTCATTTATCTATATATATATAAAAGCCTAAGTGACCAGTTGACCAGTCGTTATGACGTGCTCTGACCACCAAGGAGCAGACACTCAAGCATGAGCTGCCTGCCCCCTGGTGGTCAGTGTGTTCCCACAGCCAACCTCCCACAGCCCCTTTCCCAGCTTACTGAACTGGATGACCCGATCAGCGCGGCCAACCTCCTGTGGCCCCTCCCCTGAGCCAGCCAACCTCCCACAGCCCCAGTGATATAAATACTCCCTTCATATGAATTGCAAGCTACCAATATAATCTCATGCAGGTAGAAATGTTCTGACTGGGAATCGAACCTTGACCTCCTGTTTCATAGGTCAATGCTCAACCACTAAGCTATATCTGCTGGACATTAGAAGCCTTTTAAAGGCAAAGCTGAAGCACCAACTTGTAGACAACACTCTGTAACGAGTTGGTGCCATTATTCAAGGTGCAGTGGGTGTATTAAATTAGAAACTTCTATACTGTGTACTGTTCCCAGTGCCTCTTACCAGGGAACACAGCAAGGGTTCCATGGAACTAGCAGTTATGGGTGCCAACAGGGCACTTGAATTACTTATGTCCAGGCACAAGCAAAAGAGAAGGGGAGTTTTCATGCTGGCAAAGGTAATTGAAGTTGAGCAATAGGAGGCATTTGATCTGTTTTCACACAGATGGGGCAGGGAGAAACGTGTGAAACCCAGATGATACACTTGGGGCTGTCTTGCTATTCCTTTATTACACATGTGTCCTGAAAATGTTTATCCTGAGAATAGAGGATTGGTTCAGACTACCAATTAAGCTACAATGATCTGCCAAGTTGATAGATGAAGGAAATTCAGAATGGATAGTGGGAGGAGGTAGAGGCTTAAGACCAGATGAGGTCTTGAGATCAACTAAAGCTACTGAGCTGCAGTGCAGTCCATAACCTGCCTCTTGAGTTTCCCCTCAGGAAGAATCAGCACAGTCCTGGGCCAGATGCTCCATGAACCTGTGTGGAAACGTAAGCCTATGCTGCAGAAGGGTGGAGCTCAGCGTCTGAAACTTTGTCTCTCATCTTCACCTGCAGGGATGGTAAGTTACCAACAAGCCTTAAACCCCATCATCACATTTACACCAAGGACATGCTTGACAAAGTTACTCCCAATCAATTATTGAACATGGCAGTGATAGTAAGATAGGTTGGCTTAAGGATTCCCTGGCTGCCTTGCCAACCTCTCTTAGACCACACCTCAGTTTCAGATGCTTGCACACAATCA